GTATCCAAGTGTCTAAAGTTAACCATTCATTATCTGTATCCAAATGTCTCAAGTTAACCAATCATTACCTGTATCCAAGTGTCTAAAGTTAACCATTCATTATCTGTATCCAAATGTCTCAAGTTAACCAATCATTACCTGTATCCAAGTGTCTAAAGTTAACCATTCATTATCTGTATCCAAGTGTCTCAAGTTAACCAGTTCTTATCTGTATCCAATTGTCTAAAGTTAACCAGTCCTTATCCAAGTGTCCCAAGTTAACCAGTCTTATCTGTATCCAAATGTCTCAACTTAACCAGTCATTACCTGTATCCAAGTGCCTCAAGTTAATAAGGCTTCATATGTGTCCAAATATCAAATGCTTAAAAGTACCACTGTTTACTTGCTCTTGCTTCTAAAATCTGCTATATTTATTAAACAGTTTGTCAAGGAAAGGAAGAACCTTCTTTAAATGTAATATTTCATTCAAGTACAAATATATATATACAAAACCCGCACAGAAGATGCAAGATAAAGTTTAAGACAGTTTGTTTGTTCGTAGTGGTTATCTGTGCACTGCCCACCACGGGTATCGAAACTCGGTTTCTAGCGTTGTAAGTCCATAGACATACTGCTGTACCACTGGGGGTGGGGGCGTTTAAAAAAAGAAAAAATACTGGATGCAATGATAATAAAATATAGGACAATTAATTTGACACAACGTTTTGAGCCTAAAACGTACTTCAGTTTGTTAAAGTCGACTTGTGTGTGTGTTTTTTTCTTACTTAAACTAATGAAATTGATTTACAAGTGAAACAGTACATTTAAGCATTTTCTCAGAAATCTGATTTTTTAATTTTCTTATTCGTGAGAACTACACACACACACACAGATACTCGGCCCCTGGACCTTTAAAACCACTTTCTACTTCCTTACTGGCGAACACTATGCACATTGGACTTTTATTTAGCTCCCTGCCCTACCCCACACCCCCTTGACTTTTTAAGTCATAATAATAATATATAGACATTCGTTTAACTATTTCTATCTTTATCCCATAACAGATTATCCTGTTTTTCACATATTTCTTTCTTTATCCCATAACAGATTATCCTGTTTTTCACATATTCTTTCTTTATCCCAT